TTGGGCTTTTTCTGTATCTACCTTTAACAGGCAGGACTGGCTACAAAATTTTAGGGGCTCAGTGAAAAATGAAAATGTGGCACCTCTTGGTCAAAGAATGTCAGCAGTAGAGCATTAAACCAAAGGCAGGGAGGGCCCTGTGTAACTGCATGGGGTTGCATGGCTATGAAGTTGGCCCCTTCCACCCTAAGGAGGCCACTGTTCGTGCTGCCCAGCTTTAGAGTCTTCTGACATGTTGTTTCCTCACCTGGAACACCTTTCCACCAGCATCCAGCTCCTTCCCACATTAAGCCTTACCCTTTTCCCACTGCATCCATGTTGGGCAACCAGTTGAGGACTAATCTTTACACATCTCTCTGGTCCTTCCCGTCCTAAAACCTACAGTAGTCCTAACCATTTACATACATTAATTTTGTCCCTAATTATATACTTCCCTGTGTTATTTTCTATGCCGTTCATTCACCATCTATTGTGGGCCAACTATTTGCCTTGACTGGGCACTCTCTTTCTCCCTCCCTCCCTCCCTCCTCAACTGCACTGGGTACTGGGTATACTAAGTCCCCAAACAGTGGAGATCTTGTTTGACTTGTTCATCACTCTAACCCTAGAGATTCACATAGTGGCTCAGTGGCTTATGGCAGACAGATACTGAACAAATATTTATTAAATAATCATTTCTCTCCACCACATGGTGAGTTCCTAGAGACCAAGAAATGTTTTCATTTGTTTTAGACTGTTGATTGAGAACCTACTATGTGCCATACATTGTTCCAGACATGAAGACACAGTTCCAGACAACTTCATTTGTTCTATATTCCCTAGCATATTATCTCCAGCACATTATTATAACAAGAGCCAACATTTACTGAGCATTTTATATGCACCAGGCATTAGTCTAAGTCTTACCTATTATCTCACTTAATTCCCCCAATGATTCTATGAAATAGGTCCCATTATTATCCCCATTTTATAGATGAGGAAACTGAGGCCTGAAGAGATTGACTAACTGGTCCAAAGTCAAACAGCTGCTGTGGTTTGAAGTCAGATGACCAGACAATATTCCAATTTCTTGACTACATGGCTATGCTGCCTCCAGTGAGTATGTTTTGACTGACTGACTTGATTGAACTAGAGATCAAGGAACAGCAGGGCTGGTGGCACCACAAATCCATAAATAACCATCAAAGGGGTTATGAAAAACAACAAATCATTATAAAACTCCTTGACCAACACCAGCTGTAATAGGTGCATTAGTTTTTGCAAGCTTATGATACAGTAATAGAATATAAACTATGATATCATTTATTTCATTGAAATCACAGTCATAAAGTGCTAAGTAAGGGAGATAGCCCACTAAGCCACCCATGGAGACCTGGAGGAAAAGAACACTAAGTTCCTAAATGTTGGTAACTCTTTACTAGACTGAAGGTAAGCAATAAACATATTTATTGGACTCAATAAAGCCTGTTGACACCAACAAGCTTACCAAGGCATTCGCAGGGAAAAAGGAAAAGGATGGAAATGAGAAAATAGGAGGGCAGAAAATGGAAAAGGTGAGTCTAATGGGATGCTGGGAGCCCCCAAGAGCTGCCTTGGCTGCTCTGCTGCTGTGGGTTCTTGCCCCAAGAGAAGGCAGAACAGTCAAACTAAGCATTAAATTTAGCCAAAAACACGTGGAGGAACTTTTAGTCCAATGGGGCTCAGTGAAATGGAGTCAGCAAGTCACTGTCACACGTTGATTTGGATTCCACATCAAGTAAATGGGCTAGCATACTAAAAGTGGACTAAAACACAAGGGCCAGGTTGATTATGTGTGTTATGTTGTGTTGTGTTTGGGAGATTCATGCCACTCACATAAGTGTGTGATAAGATGCAAGGGGTGAAAGCAGCTATTAACACTGATTAACTCAAAAGTTGACCACCAGCACACACAGCCATTGTTTCCACCAGCACTCGTTAGTGATGGGCTTTGGCTGGCTGGCTTCACAAGAGACAAATGCCATTACAGGAGACGGAATAACCTTATTTAAGCAGTCAACAGATAATAGAGACGCTCCAGGTATTAGCCTGACTGCATTAGTTTGATTTGTTACTACTGTTCACCTTGTCCTGGCATTAATGGAGACAAAGGCTTGGAATTACTAGGAGCAGAGTTAAGCTATGGATTAGAGAGAGCCTGCGTGTTTTGAGGAAAAGATAATTTTATCTTGGGTTTTCATTTCCATTTTCATCTTGCTTGATTTTTCCTCAAAGTTAAAGTCTAGTTTTCCTCCTGAATATCATCATACTCTCTCCAATATACTGACAATTAATTGCTAAAAAAAAAATTACCAACACATTATTTCCTTTAACAAGATCAGCCTTTATCTTTTAGGTTTTCGGAAATGATTTTAGGGGAAATATACTAGTTACTGTGTATATTATCTCTTGAATATTCTCACATATTATGAACTCACTTCACAATATTTTATTATAGTCTGTTATTAGTATCTGAAAATATAAAAGTATGCACATATTACATTCAGAGTTATTTCTTCAATATGACAATTTCTGTATTTATTTTTTCTGACTTCTGAATGCTACTTGTTTCAGTTAAAAGTGCATAATTTCTATTATAAACAATTCATTTATAAATATGTAACTTTGGTTAACATATTTCAATTATACACAAAATTGAATTTTAAAAGCACATAAATCTGTTATATTAAACTGTCACTGAGAAATACTATTTCTTTCCTCACCAGACTTTTTATAGTTATAAATTCATATAAGTAAAAAATAATTTAAGTACATTATTAGTTGTTTATCAAAGTTTGTGATGCTGTTTCATTTTTTTCTAAAGTCTGTAAGTTTATAAAGAATCCTCACACTTCTCAGTCTTGGGGGTTAGGTTTAATCTTAGATAAATTCTACGTAAACTATGATTACTCCTTGAAAACTCTCAATATGTGAAAAGCTCTAGTTCAAAAATACTTAAAATATTAACATTGTGAAATAGTTATACATAGGACTTGCTAAGCCAAGCGAACATTAAGAACAAAAGAGAACTATATGTCTGAAACTGCAAGATGCTGGAAAGATGCACAGACTGTCAACTGTGATGACATTTAAAAAATAACAGCAAAAACAAATACATATACGAGTGTCTATATATGTATACATATACACATGCTCTTATATACAAAAAGGTGTATAAAAATGTTTAATGATCGTTATCTGTGAAGGAGGAGATTTGAGGGAGGTTTAACTCTACTTCTACACTACTTGAATTGTTTACAATATGTAAATATGACCTTAGGGATTAAATTAAATGGCTATTTGAAAAAGCTTACCCATCACATGACCCTTTCCCCTCCAACCCACTCCTGATGACTTCTAGTCCTCCACCTTAATATAATTTCACAGGAACCTATGAAGAGCAAAGAAGTACCTGGTGGATAAACTGTGACTAACATATTTCATAAATAGGGGTCCTAATCATATATTACCGAAAGCGGTTCTTTATGTCAGAAAAAGCAGCTCCACAGTCTGACAGCAGAGACTTCTTCGGAAAACATTTAATGCCTCTGTTCTCCCCTTTACTTCCCTGCTGCCCTTCTCTTCCTCCTCGCTCTCCATCCAGCAACAGTGAAACAGGATAATCATAGCTTACTGCTGACACAGAGCTTACTGGGACACAGAGCGGTCTTTCCTCCAAATTGTTCTCAGTAAATGATTTTTTAAAAGCTCTAAAATCTGAGTCATGCTACTTTTCCTCATCAGGAAATGCAAACTCCTCTAATCTTTCTAATGCAATTAAAAAATGAAAGAAAAAAAATATATATATAAAACCAGCATAGATACAGTAATTCAACAAGAACCTTCTACTCTGGTCCTTACCAGGAGAGAAAAGAAGAGCAGAGGAAAGAAAAGGTAAAAGGTAGAAAAGAAAAGGGAAGCAAGGAAGAATTCAATCCAAATGCGTGAAGTTGGAATACAGCTTCCAGGAAACAAAGTCAGCGCCCTCCAGCTTATATTAAACAGAACATCCACTCTGGCCTTCCATTAATTAAACGGAAAACAAATCCCCAGATTCCCAGTAGGACTCCCTTGTGATGCATCTTATCCTATTCCTGTCTTTAACTGACGGGAACCATGGCAAATGCAAAGAAAATACAGTTTGTGTCCCAGAAAGTGCCCTGGTTATTTCCAGTGATAATGTCAGAACAGTTATCCTACCTCCTCAGTCAACGTATTGTTTGTAACAAAACATACAGGTGATTAACTGGAAACAGATATAAGCCAGATGATCATTCTCATTTTGATTAATGAAAGTAAAGCATGATATTGCGTGGACTAGAAAAATAACTAAAATTTGCATTTATTTGTAGCTCAATTCTTTTGCACAACCTAATACTAATGGCATGAAGAAGACGATTGATGATTTTACATCTCTACTTTGGCATAATAACTTTGCTGAATAAAAAACTTGAAACTAGAGTGCTGTAAGGATTTGTATTGATATATGGTGAGAAAATCTCACTGCTTTATGCCAGAAATAAAGAGAAACAAAAGATTCATGAATAAATCATATGCTATATTAAGTATAATCACATTTCAAAATGCATTTTGAACTTATTGAAACGAATCACATCTTTGTGCCATTCTTCAGACTATTTGACTGGAATTATTTTGTAAATGGAATCAAGTTGTAGAGTCAATTAGCTATGAGTTTACTGATTTTAACAAATTAATTTATTTGATTAAATTTGTTCACCAAAAATAACTGGCTTTTTCTGCAAATGTTTATTAAAATATATAGGAAAGGCCTTTATTATAACTAACAGTGCCCAAGTACAACAGGTACCATGTTATAATAGTAAGTATTTACAATATATTTTCCAATAAAAATGACAATGCTCAGATTAAACACAGAAAACATAACATTTTCAACACTTGATATTTCATTAATTCTTCATGTTCTGCAATTGGAAGATAATTCCACATGTTTAGTTTTCTATTTATTCCAGGAGATCTGTGTTGAAATTTTTTTTTGCCATTAGAAACTGTGATTCTCTATGGGACCTTTTCAGCTTTGCACGCCGATTTTGGAACCAGATCTAAAATTAAGGGAAGATAAAACAGACCTCAGAAATGTTATTTTATTATTAACATTTTCACTGCCAGAAGTAATAACTAAGTTTGAAAACTTACCTGGATTCTGTCTTCCTCTAGGTTCAGTTTTTGAGCTAAGTCTTCTCTGATATCAATGCCAGGATAGCAGTTTACTCTAAAGACATTTTCTAACACTTCAATCTAAGAATAAGGAAATAATTATTTAAAATGTTGATCTCTGGTCTGTCATCATAAAATAGACTTTAATTTGTATAGCAAAATAACTGCATTCAAATCTTGGGCAATCAATATGTAAGCTTTTTTTTTTAATGACTATCCAGAAACTGTTAGAGAGAGAGAGAGAGAGAGAGAGAAAGAGAGATACGGTCTATTGTTTCATTAATAAGGCTTCTAAACTGAGATCCCAAAGTGGATGGGCTTTTTGCCGAACAGGGCATCAGTTAAAGCCTTTGTATTAAGATTATTGGCTGAAAAACTCCCTACCTGGTTTTGAGTAAAAGCAGTTCTGGGTCTTCGGCCTCTATACCAACTCAACTCTCTTTTCAAAGAAAGTCTCTCTGAGGGTGAAAAGTAATCTTCGTATTTCAAAATACTTTCTTCCGGCACCGAGTGATCCACAGTTTGAGGTAATGAGATCCCATTGGGAAGAGTGGGGACATGTAGACATAAGTTAACTTCTTTCTCTAAAAAGAGAAAAAATAAATCCCATTTTAGGTGTCCAATTCTATATTCTACAAAGTTGTATAAGAAGTAATTTCAGAAACTTGTCTCTAACTTTCCTAGTAGAATTCTTCTAGGTTTCACAGAAGACCAAAATCCAAAAAGCAAACAAAAATGAGCCCTGTCTTGCTGATAGAGAACACATTCTGGCCTGAGTGTCACTGATTCTTCAGTGAGAAGATTTAGAATATAGGATATGGCAAATAAACCCAGAGCTCTTCTGAAGTAAAGGAAGTCTCCTGGCATTTCTCGTGCGTGCTTCATACTTGGATCTAAGGCCAATGATCTTTCTATTTCCCATAACAATCAGATGGAGGCATTAAAAGTGCTAGATATTTCAATTATGTACTTGGATGAAAGTAAAGCTTTTCTCTAAGTCTATGTAATATGAAAAAAAAGAAAAAAGGCCAAATTAAACACTGTAAACAAATTAACAAAGAAATTTAAAAATTAAGTTGTGGCGTACCTGAAGAGCTGCAGGTGTCAGCCCAGGGCCTGTGGGGTTTCGTGGATGGAACACTGTCTTTCTTCTGGTCCGGTCCTAAGATACTCTCAATTGAAAAGGGGCAGGGTGAGGGTTTGCCTTCCCCAAGTCGAGCACCTTCCTGAAGGCTAGGAGACATCCTTGCGTGGGCTGCACAGAGCAACAGCTCCAAGCCTCCCTGGCTGGCTGTGCCCCACGTGTCCGGGGCTGGACCTTCCTGCAGTTCACCTTATTGCTCCGCTGACAAGGGGGCTGGATTTAGAACGTCACTAATTAAAACCCCGTTTCAGAAAGTTTTAGCATGTCAATGCACACTGGCCCAGCCAGCAGCTCCAGGAGTTAATTGTTTATTTGTTTGCAAGTAATTAGCAACTAATGGCTACACCGCGGGGGCCACCTACAGGGACAAAAAGTGTTATCTCTCCTAAACAGAACACAGACTTAACTTTCTCAAAAGAAATGATGCACACAGACTAGCACTCCTCTTTTATTTGAAATCATCAATGTATAAAATCATGCTTTTTATTCTGAAGTTTATACTTTCATGGACTCCAGTTACCTAACATACAGGCAAGACAGAAGAGCAGTCAAGTAATAAATAATCTAATTTAAGTGAATTTTCTTCCAAATAAATTGGAAAAATAATAATCTCTTAATGCTATTACAGTAATTCTGATGAAAATGCCTGTTTTTCACATGCATATGTAATAGTGACTGCTGTCAGTGAAAACACAATAGTATTTGGGGAGCAGCATACTGGAAAAGGTTGGCAATGTTATTAACATTGAGTGTAATTTTCTTCCAAGTGCCTGGATTAACTCACAAGGAACAGTTGCACCAAGTATTTTAAATAATTAATGAGTTAACTCTCTTCTTTCATCTTTTATTTTAAATGAGATACAAGTTAATATGAAGATTCATATATAACTACCTCCAAGCAACTTAAAAGTATGACTATTCAAACTAAAGGAAGAATTTCTCTCCCATCAGTTGTTTCAAAGAAAAATACATAGTTTATCTTTTAAAGAAAAATTTTTGTTGATATTTTGACAGACTGGATGGTTCTCATGAGGACAAGAAGACTTGTAAAAAATAACCAAGAACAAAATATTTTCATTTCATCATCCTAAGAAAATGTGAAGTTAAAAGAGAAATATAGCTACTAAATGAGAAGATTCTGAAGTGGCCACTTCTCACCAAAGTTGTAACACTTTTAGTTCTTGTACTCTTTTGCTCCTCTTCTTTTAATACCTTCTTGATGATAAATTTAAGTGTTGTTTTATCCAGCATTCAAACAACTACTGGGCTTTCCTTGTGCGAAGAGGAAAAGTAGTGTGTGCTCAAGGAGGAAATAGCCTCTACAGGACGGAGTGGAACTTTATCAGATTTTGCCCTATCGTGATGTCACTTCCTATCACAATGTCATAAATACCAAGCTAAATTCCTCCTTAGATGAGCTCTGGTGTGAACAAAGGATTCATATACAAAACATAACATGCACACAAGATGGAGTTATAAATATACAAGTAAAGCCATTCTGACAATGAATAAACTAGTAAACATATATACCTCATGGAGGTTTTGCCTATAGTGTCTTGGAAGGTAAACAGTGCAATGGTGGGGGTTCCCCTACTCTGGAGCAACCTGGAGAAAGAGATTGATTCAGGACCTTCCAGATTCTTTCCTTTCCTTTGAAACATTCACTCACTGATTCATCCCACAAACCGAAGAACATGTACTGCGTACCCAAAAACCCAAATAGGATCCTTGCCTTCATGTGGCCACAAAGCTCACGGTGGTGGCAGAGGTGGGGGGGCAGTGAGACAGGTGACAAACAATGATTGTAAATATTAATAAATAAATTATCTTGTACATTAACCAGTGATGAGGATAGAAAAAGAAGGAAGATGAGCCAGGAAAGCTGGCTCTTCAGCGAGTGAGTTAGAAGGCGGCCTTACTGAGACATTCGACCCCACAGACTAGGGCCCTAGAGGCACACACTGCAGGATGCCACCACACAGGCTGAAGCAACTCCAGTCCCCAATTTCTTCTTTATCAACACAGACACTGCAATATTTTTATTTATCCTGAGTTGATTTTATGTGGACTTAATACCATCTGACATCTGGATGAATATATGAAAATAAAAGATAGCGAAGAGTTTCTTTAAAAATGTGGAGGCAATGTTTTCTCATATATATCCACTCAACAGACTTTTACAGAGCACTTAACATGTGTCAGACATCATTCTAGGATTAGGAATGAACAAAAGCAAGGTAATTTCAGAGAGCGATAAACTCACTGAAAGGAATAAACAAGGTGGTGGTGATGAAACATAATGGGGGTGGAGTGGAGTGAGAAGAGGGTCTTTAAGGATTGATGGTCCAGGAGGCCTCTCTAAGGAGGTGACATTTTAGCTGAGGATAAGAGAATGCTAGCATGCCAAGATCTTGAGAAAGCACATTCCAGTCAGAAGGAACAGCAAGTACAAAGGTCTTGCAGCTGAAAGGTATTGGAATATTTGAGGAGGAAAAGGGCAGTTAGCCAGAGAGCAGTGAGTGGTACCAGATGCTAGTGTTTGGAAAGCCAGGCCTGGCTGGATAACGGATGCCTTTATAAAGACCTATAAAGACCGTGGTAAGGAGTTCAAGGGCAAAGGGAACCCGGGGCAGGGTTTTAAGCTGGGATTAATATGATAGTCTGAGTTGTTTTTATTCACAACATTTCTGACACCCATATGGGCTTTTCCATACCAACAGATTCTCCAGTTCTCTGTAGACATCAACAGGGTATCCTACAATTCAATTCTGACCCTAACTACCCCACAGGTTAAGGGCTCAGTTCACCAAGACTATAGAGACCACTCACAAGTCCCAGGTGGCCACTTGTACTTTTGACTCCGTTCAGTTCAGTTCAGTCGCTCAGTCGTGTCCAACTCTTTGTGACCCCATGAATCGCAGCACGCCAGGCCTCCCTGTCCATCACCAACTCCCGGAGTTTACTCAAACCCATGTCCATCAAGTCGGTGATGCCATCCAACCATCGCATCCTCTGTCATCCCCTTCTCCTCCTGCCCCCAATCCCTCCCAGCATCTGGGTCTCTCCCAGTGAATCAACTCTTCGCATGAGGTTGCCAAAGTATTGGAGTTTCAGCTTCAGCATCAGTCCGTCCAATGAACACCCAGGACTGATCTCCTTTAGGATGGACTGGTTGGATCTCCTTGCAGTTCAAGGGACTCTCAAGAGTCTTCTCCAACACCATAGTTCAAAAGCATCAACTTTTTGGCACTCAGCTTTCTTCACCATCCAAATCTCACATCCATACATGACCACTGGAAAAACCATAGCCTTGACCAGACGGACCTTTGTTGGCAAAGTAATGTCTCTGCTTTTTAATATGCTATCTAGGTTGGTCATAATTTTCCTTCCAAGGAGTGTCTTTTAATTTCATGGCTGCAATGACCATCTGCAGTGATTTTGGAGCCCCCAAAAATAAAGTCTGACACTGTTTCCACTGTCTACCTGTCTATTGCCCATGAAGTGATGGGACCAGATGCCATGATCTTAGTTTTCTGAATGTTGAAATTTAAACCAACTTTTTCACTTTCCTCTTTTTTTTTTTTTTGGAAAAAAGAAAACGTTTTTGAAAAACTTTCACTTTTTCCTCTTTCACTTTCATCAAGAGGCTTTTTAGTTCCTCTTCATTTTCTGCCATAAGGGTGGTGTCATCTGCATATCTGAGGTTATGGATATTTCTCCCGGCAATCTTGATTACAGCTTGTGCTTCTTCCAGTCCAGCATTTCTCATGATGTACCCTGCATATAAGTTAAAATAAGCAGGGTGACAATATACAGCCTTGATGTACTCCTTTTCCTATTTGGAACCAGTCTGTTGTTCCATGCCCAGTTCTAACTGTTGCTTCCTGACCTGTATACAGATTTCTCAAGAGGCAGATCAGGTGGTCTGGTATTCCCATCTCTTGAAGAATTTTCTACAGTTTATTGTGATCCACACAGTCGAAGGCTTTGGCATAGTCAATAAAGCAGAAATAGATGTTTTTCTGGAACTCTCTTGCTTTTTTGATGATTCAGCAGATGTTGGCAATTTGATCTCTGGTTCCTCTGCCTTTTCTAAATCCAGCTTGAACATCTGGAAGTTCATGGTTCATGTATTGCTGAAGCCTGGCTTGGAGAATTTTGAGCATTACTTTACTAGCATGTGAGATGAGTGCAATTGTGCAGTAGTTTGAGCATTCTTTGGGATGGCCTTTCTTAGGAACTGGAATGAAAACACGTTTTCCAGTCCTGTGGCCACTGCTGAGTTTTCCAAATTTGCTGGCATATTGAGTGCAGCATTTTCAAAGCATCATCTTTCAGGATTTGAAATAGCTCAACTGGAATTCCATCACCTCCACTAGCTTTGTTCGTACTGATGCTTTCTAAGGCCCACTTGACTTCACATTCCACTTCTGACTAACCGACAATAAATTCAGAGTTCCCCTTCACAGGTTCAATTATTTGCTAGAACTCACACAACTCAAGAAGGCATGCTGTTTATGTTTACTAGAAAAGATACAATTCAGGAACAGATGGAAGAGATGTGTAGGGCAAGGTGTGGGGGAAGGGGCACAGAGGTTCCACGCCCTCTCTGGGCACACCACCATCCCAGCACTTCAATGTGTTTGCCAACCTGAAAGCTCTCAGAATCCTGATCTTTTTTCAGTGGGTTTTTTTATGAAGTTTCACACTTGATCTTAGCCAAAAGGCCGAGAAGCGATTATGGAGTTTCATCACATACACAAGATTGATTAATCATTGGCTACTGGTGACTGACCTCAATCTCTAGTCCCTTTCCCCTCCCCTGAGGTTGGGAGGTGTGGCTGAAAGTTACAAGCCTCTAATCTAGGTATGGTCGTTCCTGTGACCAGCCCACATCTTGAAGCTATTGAGAAGCCCACCAAGAGTCATGTCATTAGAATAAAAGATACTCCTATCACTCTTATTACTCAGGAAATTCCAAGAAATTTAGTAGCTGTGTGTCTGGAACCAGGGACAGA